ACATCCCTACAATAAATATTAGATTTTAAAGAGAATTTTAAATTTGTTGTTTACATTTTTCGTATACGATGGCGGCTCGATGACTAACAAAAAAGTATGATTCCCAAAACTTTGCAGCAAATTCATCAGAAGTAAAAACTTCCTCTAAAAGGTTACATCCAGCAGCGAAGGATCTGGCATTATCACTATAAATATGAGAATGTATACCATGTTGCTAAACCGGATAAAAACACGAATGAAAGCATGGGTATGTAGCGATTGCTATGTTTTTCCACGCCCACATTTTATTCGTCTGCGATTGACTAATAAATCACTACTACTTTTATATAGGACAATTTAGCCATCGCAGTCGTTTCTTTGAATCCTTCGGCTTTGAGCTTGCTTGCTTGTTCTGTTAGTACGAATGTAGTGATTGGTTAATTTTTAACCAATCACATATTTTAGTGCAAGATTAAGTTTTCCCGCGTGGTCGTGGGAGCCTACCCTTTTTCCATAAAAGAGGCGACTTTTTCACAAGTCGTCAGTAGGATCCAGTAGATTCACCTGTCCATACAAGTCCACGATCTTGCTCATAACATTTCAAACGCACACACAGACACCGAATTTCGTAATATAAACACACATTTCTCTCTGTGACTTAGCCAAGCTCAATCAACCAGGACTTTGTTGATTTCGAACCATTTTATAACACAACACATTTTTGATCAATTGTATTCTTGTGTTGTCTATTCTAACAAACAGAGCTTGTTCTAATAATGATTCCTGAACATTTTTCTCCCAAAAAGAACTTTATTCGAACAATCAATTACAAATCAAAATACAATGAAAGAGGAACAACTTCTTTCCCTTAATCTATACATTGAAAACAATTTTATTGCATGTTTGTTCTTGTGTGTTATTTCAATATATACTTGTTGATTCACGGTTTGGAGTTTTTGTTGTTTACTTGAATCCCGTATGTTGAAAGTTTAATAATATAAATAGTATTGGTCTATCTACAAATGGACACCTTTACAGTTGGCAACCCCAATGTTCGAAAAATAAATCTTTCAACAAATAGGCCCTTACAGGTACACATGTCCTTGACAAGTTCAATGCGCACAGCTCGTATGTGCAAACAAGTAAAAATAAGAAAATATATTTTACTTACACTTTTATCATCCATTGCCCAAACATGCCCAGTGTAATCAATACCCGTATGAAGGAAGGGTTTGACCAGATTCACTCGATGTTTAGGTAAATTAGTGACTTTAACATATCTGAAGGAAAAGGCATTAAATTTTTACACAAATAGAATCCAGAAATAACCTTCTTCACTGTATGCCTGGCCTTGGGAATCCAGAATCCAGACAATCTCAGTTTGTTTAAAGTGGCAGCAATGCCTAAATGTTTACATTTTTGTCATGACAGTCGCTGATTATAAGTTCAGTCAAGTGGCTGTCTTTAGTAAGCACAATAGGATAAATTATCTCGTATTCATATACAGATATTTTACCTATTCTACCATCTGAACGGATAATTCCCCTTTTATCTAAGAATAAGTTTAAATTTTTCACTAATTCAGGTGCTTCTTTGCCAAGAGGTTATAAAAGACAATTAATTTCCCTTTCAAGGGATTGTTTTTGCATTACTTTTATCAAGTTTTGCTTAGCACACTCGATATGGTCTATATCTACACATTTCAATCTGTTTATAAATTTAAATATCAGAGAAGTCACTCTGATTAGTTTCGTTAATGTTGAAAATTTCTTAAAAGGAATAATAGGATCTTCAGTGTGAACTGAAACTGTAGCGGTTTGAACGGCTTCATTTCAATCCGGACATTTTTTACTTTACAAATGTGTCAGCAAACAAGAGAAACAACACAAAAAACTGTTTTTATAATAACAAATCATCTTCATTTTACTGTATGACATACAAAACAATCAAGTGTGGGTATCTCGCGGTGGTGTAATGGTTGGCAAGCTTGTCTTGCTAGATCAATTACGACTGAGTAGTGAGTTCGATCTTTACTGGGTACCCCATACTTTCGGCCTTGTGCCAAATCTGAGCTACGCTTGGAAAATCGCTACAAAACAATCAAGTGTGTGATTTTCATATAGTAAAAGTTGTAATTAATAGCAGAAGGTATTTACCTTTAACTGGAAATTCTTAAAGCTTTTTAAGAGAAAATATTTTTACCTAAACTCACAGAAAAGATTTCAGTTCATGAAATAAAGTTTAGTCTCAATAAAATGTTTTTCGATAAAAAGCGTTATAGACTGGAAAGTTCATATGAGAAGAGTTCAATGAAACTTGTTTAGTGAAAGGAAATTATACTCTTCACTTGCAATATCAAGAAGTTGTGTTTGGTACTAAAAGTGTAGTTTTTAGATTTTAAACTCCTGAATAAAATTTAACATAAATAAGTTGAAATAACTTGACGCTTAAATTGTTCACCGAGGAGAGATGAATATGAGTGAGTGTGTTGTGGGAAGCTGAGATTATGTTAAAAATTTTTAGCTCCAGAGGATTTGACGTAAAATGTCTCACTGGTAAAAATTGATAAGAGTCGAAAGTTGTATTCTCTCGGACGGCATGTTTGTTACTGAAGAAAATTTCACTGTTAGAAGTTGATAGGTTCCTGTTGCTTGTAGTTGAAGGAGCGAATGAGATGAGTTAAGAGATGTGTAATGTTCGTACGTACGTGTGTGTGTGTGTGTGTGTGCGCGCGCGTGTGTAATAGCGCCTTCATAGCTTTTTCCCATAAAGGGACAAACGCGATTTCTCCACAGCTACATCTTGTATGTGAGAGAAGGCAAAAAAGAGGAAGTGTTGAAGATGTCGATTGGTATTTATAATGTTGTATGTCACGGGATAGACTCGAAACATATAGACAGATTTTGGCGGAAAATTAATTTCAGTCGTGAGGACGTAGTGGAAAACATGATATTAGCATTAATTGATCAATCAGGAGTCACAGAAATATCAAGGTTCCGTGATCCACTTTTTTTTTTTACAGATTTTGTCGATCACAGTACTGTTACGTAGAACATGTATTGGAATCTTTTTTTAACTAATCCAAAGATTGAACAATTTCTTTGTTTCCACTACTCAAATAATCTAAGCTACTGACAGACCAAGTAATAGGCTGTTTCTTTAGACATAAAGGCCCAGAAACCCAGAAACGAAAGTTTTACTTGAATTTTGCAAAGGATATTCCTCTGGTAATTAGATCAGCAGGATTCTAAAAAGTATGTATATACTTGCAACTCAACTGCTTAAATATTTCAGCATATTCATCATACAGATTCTGCTGTTCTAATCTTCTTACTACTCTATTTAGTACATTAAAGGATATAGCATGGTATGAAGAGACAGATTTAATTTTATCCACATCCCAAGGCAACTTCACATAATAGCAATTGTTTTTATATTTTATAGACTTTTCAAACCGTTCAATTTTCTCCTTGTCATAATCGCTAACGGGATTTTCCTCGTTCCGCAATCCCGGAGACTCTACACTAAACATTTTCTCTAGGTTGTGTTCCACAAAACTTTCATGAAAATTTTCTGCAAAAGGATCCACGTGTGTCCCCCTTGGTTCCAATACAACATTTTACATGTGTAATGGCACAAGAAGAATACTGAGAAATTACAGTGCAGAAATTATCTTCAGTGGAATTTTCATGTTTTTTTTAAAGAAAGTCAAAATTTTTTTACAATCCCGAATAAAATTATCCCTTTAGGAATCTGCCAAGCAGATCCATTTATGTATTCAACCTTTCGCATGGATCCCATATATTGAATTAAATCCACACCCAGAAGACCATGAACGGGAATGGAACTTTTACTTCCCTCGAAATTGGCTGCTATCTAAACTGTTTAGGTTGTACAACCTTATCAAACCCATCAAGATTAAAGTCAATATCAAAATCGTCATATTCCAGAATAGGTAAGGAACGATGAGTGTTATTAAATCTGATATCAAACATTACTTCTCTTAGTTTCTTTTGCTTGTTGCTTGAAAATGATTTTACTGTAAACACTGTAGATGGATTAAAGTAATTTTTTTTCCTTTTATCTTCGTTATTACAGATTGAGAGAAATAAGATCTTTGTCTACCAAACAATTAAATTTATAAGGTTTGTTTCTGTCAAAAACAGTTACAGATGCTATAGTTAAAATTAAATCATGTTTTTTTACAGTTATTTTTGTAACACATAATGGTGGTCAGTGTTTTGGTTTGTTTAAATTTCTGCGGACAAAGGGCACAAAAGTCTTTCGATTTATAAAATTTAATTTCAAATGGCAAGACATTTTTTTTTTTGCAATACACTCTTGGCTTCTTTGTTTTTGATTCATGCAAATGAAACATAAACTTATTTCTTTATATTTAGTTAATATAGATTCCAGAGAATGGAGCTAAAGACACAGTGTTACTATGACTTTCAGTGCCGCAAAACTTGCACACACTTGTAGTTTTCACATAAGTATTGAAATTCTGTGAAGCTGAACAAGATTTTCTAGGATTTGATACCCTATCTGATCTAAACTTGGCTTCTTTAATAGTGTTAATTTCATTATAGCAAGAGTTTTGATCACTTCGTTATAGTTCTTGAAAATATGTATTAGCAAAGGATAATTAGTCCCCAAAATACGAATAATCTCCCATTTCAAAACATTGGGCAGCCTAGAAAAAACAACTCATGCATTTATTACCAGGAGTGATATCTTCCGGAAAATTTAGTTCGAATTAATTTTTCAACTCCAAGTCTGCTCTAATTTTGTTAAATACTGTTTGACTTCCTCAAATTCAGTGCAATGCAGTCTTATTTTCGCTTATTTGTTTCAATGCTTCATTCATTCGTGATCCCAATATTCTTCTTTTAGCAACTGATTCGCAATATCGTAATTTCCTTTTGTAATAGTTAAACGTTGGATAATTTGCAGATCATAATATTCTAGATATCCTCTTAGATATTGTAACTAGACAGCCTTACATTTTACTGCTGCCTTACAGTTCTGAAATTGCGTAAGAAAATTTTTGAAGACGAATTTGTCTTCACAGTTTTTTACCACTAAATCTGGGACAGTTAACTTTTGGGAGCAAAAGAAGATCATACACCAGAAATAGAGGTCTCATCTTTTTTACCAACAGCACTATCCTCCATTTTTTAAATTTATTCACCTATCTTAACTAGTTGATCAAGTGTATCACATCGAAATAGTTAAAATGTATAATCATCTGTCTTTGAATCTTCAGTATTTCTAATTCAGTGAATATCATCTATTTGGTCAGTAATAGTCTCCATTGTCTCTAACCACTTACTGATCGCTTGTTCCTGAACAGAGAGATGGACCTTTAGAATATTTTCTTTGGCCTTTAACGAGTTTATAGACATCTCAATCCTTTCTTTGATCTTATGTCTCCTATGTTTAGAAACTTCCTCCATCTTCCAGTAAAAATACCTCGATAAAATTAACCAAAACCGTTTTTTGATTATAAAAAAAGACAGAATTTGTTACTTCAGTAAACACTGAATTTTTCCTTCAATATTTTTTTCTTTTCTTTTTTAATGAATGAATAGCAAAATTTTACAGGCTATTTTAACATTAAACAAAAACTCCAGTCTGGAATACTGGATACACAGAATTTTTATTTAAAATAATCTTTCAAGAAAAAACAGACGAATTTACGCATAAACTCTGTTTAGCCTTAGACATTTAACGCACGGTTAACACATTTGGTTCAATTCAGTTCAAATAATGAACGAACATTTTTTTGAAGAAACCACGGCAGAAATTTACTTTTAAAATTCCCCGATGACTTCGAAAAGAGAATTCGTTTTATTTCAGTCAATACTGAATTATTATTTTTTTTAATAATGAATGGGCGGCTTTACGCATAAATCCCCCAGGTTAACGTCAACACTCAATTAACATAATAATTCCAGTTGGGAATACTGGATACACAGAATTTTCATTTAAAATAATCTTTTTCGAAAAATAAAATACAGAATTTACGCATATAATTTTGTTGAAAGGTTAACACATTTGGTTCAATTCAGTCACAATACGGAATGAACATTTTTTGAAGAAACCACGGCAGAAATTTACCATTAAATTTCTCCGATAACATCAAAACAGAATTTTAGTTTAGTCTGATAATCTATTTCTAGTTCTATCGTGTACGAGAAATGTTACCCAGCCATTTCATTAAAAATTCACGCAGTGGAGTCTTTTTTTGTTCTTTGTATTCAGGAGTTAGCAACATTTGCCAATAAAATTTTTGAGCAAGATATAAAAATTAAAGATTTTGCTTTCCTGTCAACTCAACTTAGTTGGTAGAAACTCTCAAAAGGTGCAACTTTAAAAACAAGACGACCTCTGCGCAAAATCTTAAAGGAAAACATTTATTTACAATACAATTTACAATTGCAAAGCAATTGATAAGCAAAGTCTCCCAAGTCTAGCTTAGCGCAGGTCAGCAAACATGGTTTTGCCAATGTTTCCCCAATGTCCCTTCTTATTCTTCACGATCTCGTAGACAACTTCGTATGACGCTTTCACAGTTACAGTGGTTTGGTTTTCGAAGGTTCCAGTCGCGTCTAATCTTGCCCGTTTCAAATTGGCCTCTTTGAGCTTGAAAAATGCACGATACTTGTCTTTGAATTCTGGATGGCTGTTTTCAAGATGTTGTTTCAACTCAAATGGTTTCATGGTGCCATTCCCCAATGTTTTCAAACAAAGCACGCACTGAGGTACTTGCTCTCCATTTTGGATCAGAAAGAAACACCCGAAATCTCAGTCCAAATCTTCATAACGGCGTTTTTGGACATCCTGAGAAAAATGAAAAGAAAACGATAATCCCAAATCGTGTCTCAAAATTTGGAAAAGTTGAATAAATATAAAATTGCACGTACGAATGCAAGCAAATATAGCTTGCACAGTACACGATCTGATCCCAAACGGTAACAGCGATAGACTGACACAGGTGGATTACGCCATTAAAAAAAAGACAAACAACCACAGGTTATTTACTGAGTTGCTTGTTATAACACACAACAAAACGCAAATCACAGAAAACCTCCTTCAAAACCCCGGTTAAGAAACGCTGGTCTAATTAACAGACAGATATTTGAGAATAAGACGAATCGTCACACTATAATGGTCATAGATCTACAACACGGCTGTGGTTTCTGAAGCAAGTAGGCGTTTTACGGTGTGAGATTACTGACTGCACGTCCAACCGATTTTGAATTACGTTCTTCTAAACTGGTTGCCAGCCAAGTCTGCTGTACCGTTTAGTCCATAGGTGACTGGATGTCTGTAGGTGTATGGAGGGGGAGTAATAGACGTATACATTTCCCAAACTCGACACACCAATCTCACGTTCCGCTCCGATAATCACTACACTATGTGTGCATCTATGTATATATAAGAAAGCAACTTATTCCTTTTCCCGTGTAGCTGAATGGCTCCAGACTAATTTTGTTTAAGTTTCAAGTCTTTTCACCAATTTAATTGATTCTGGTTGCTTGACTACTGAAACAGTAAAAATTCACACACTGTCTAAAATCAATAGGGAGACATTTTCTCACTAAATTACAGCCCATTTAACTACTAATTTAAGCAAATACAAGATACATTTAATATAGTATTTTCTGGCAAAACATCTGTAAGGGCCGTTTCTATCTGAGTGGGTCTACTATTACGCCCAAGAATTCCCGCATAAGTGACACGCGCTTCTCTGGGGGTTCTCTTTTGGCTTAAAGCCAAACGACACCCAATCTGAGTATGAGCGGTGCCCATAAGCTTACAGAGAACTCTCTTAGATCGTCCTTATCTGTCATAGCGAATTTTCTTTTAGCCCTGCTTATCAAGGGCTTAAAAGAAAATATTTTGTATGCTTTTTTCCTCATTTACAGTTTTTACCTCTACAAAAACTTGATATCGCGTATTTGTGTAAAAAACCACATTTTCTTGGTCACTCTTTTCTTGATGCATAACAAAGCGAGACTTATCTGCACGCACACTCAAAAGGAATATGGCGTAAGGCCAAGTTTAAAGTGAAGATACCACACCTACGTAGGACTGTATTACAATGCTCTTTTCTTATTTCTACACTTTTTAGGGCTTGTAAAATAATTATATGACGGTTTTTCCTAGCCATAACAAGCAGTTACTGCTTGAAATTATTCAGGTACATCGTATTTATGCGTTTTATTTTCAGCATGTTAACTTCTTGTACTTTTTTTTGTCTAAAAATATATTTACTTTTTATTTTCCCTTTTTTTCTCAAAAGGTTTATCTTTCTTTATAGTGATTTGGTAGCATAATGAACTGTTATTAATTTGTATTAATTTATCTAGCTCGCTCCTCCACCGCCTCCGCGCTTCGAGAAAAGAAAAAATGGGATATAAATATATGGCCCAGTGGATAAAAGCGATGATTGAAGTAATCCAGTGACTTGACCCAAAGAGTTGTAAGTTCAATACCTGGCTACAGCAGAGGTGAACAAAAACTTGTAGAGTTGAGTTAAATGGAAATAACTGATAATGAGATATCCGAAAGAAGTATGGCACGTGGAATTAGAACAATCTAACCTGGTGGACGAAATAAAGGGTTCGATTCGAAATTTCAATCACCTGATGAATGCCGGAGTGTACAACTGCCGAAACGTCGTGAAGATGGCAACAAAAATAAGAACAACAGACCGAACATTATAAATAGTGTAAATAGTATATTTTTAATTCAAATTTCTGAAAACCAGCCGTCAACAGTTTATTTTTCATTTCTCACTATTAACACGAAAAAGTCAAGGTGATACGTTACTTTAAATTTAAGAAAAAAACATTGAGAACTTTAACTAAATTGAAACTTATATATGCATGAACTTTTTTGCCGGATGGTCGATTACTAAACCGGCCTCCAAACTCCAGTTTACTGCAAGTGAGGCGGGTGATTAGCAACCGTATAGGAGGAAAAAGAAGGTCTATCAAAGGACAGAACTCTTAGTGAGCCAACGATCAGTTAACTAGAGATGATGTCTCAATAAATTCACCGTGGAGAAAGCAAAACGAGAAACCACTCCACTATCAATTCCAAGAACATTCATAGTTATTGACACTGTTATTATGAGATATAACAGCGTGAATGGAGTCAAACTTCTTGAATTTGACCCTTCACTCGGTAATGAAATACATGAGCGACACGTGTCACTGAATCATCATCCAGTGACTGTTCGCATCAAACAAAAAAATAGTTTTAGAGACATTTACGTCAGAACATTAAAACAATATGGCCAGTTAGAAAATATGAAGCAGGAAATGAATGGGCTAAATATGAATATTTTAGGGTTTTGCGAAACTGGGTGGAAAAACAATGGGGATTTTGTCAGTAATAAACACAGGGTCATATATGCAGGGAGAAATGGAAATGAGAGAGGAGTAGGACTAATACTAGAACAATACATGAAGAAATGTATCCTGGTATACTATTAATTATCTGAGGGTTCTTCTAGTTAAATTGAAAGGGAAGCCTTTTAATATATCCATTGTAGTTGTATATGCACCGGATGAAAAAATTGAAAAGAAATAAAAAAGTTAAGAAAATATTGAAAAGTTTTAATGTACGCTAGACAACGTCAAAGCTCAATGCAAATCACAGGAATTTGCAATCGTCATGTGAAAACTAAATGCCAAAGTACGGAAGGAGCAAGATGGTGAAATAGTTGGCAAATTCGGACTAGGAACTCGTAATCAACACGGAGAAAAATGGGTGCATGTTAAGCTATCAGGTAGTACCCAACACCTGGTTTCAAGAATACCTAAGACACTTATATACATGAAGAAACACAGGAAGAGAAACTAAAAAAACAGATCGATCACATAACGATAAGGGATTCAGGAGTGCCGTTTTACACTATAAAACATATCAAAGTGCCGATACTGCTGAAACGAGCATCTTTCATTGATATGTAATTTTAAAGTTGAAAGCCAAGGAAGCACCCAATTTGCAATACAACAGACTTATGAGTGACCAAAATTGTGACAGTGTTAAAAGCAAATGTAACGAACTAAATGGGAATGGAAATTCAAATTGTGACACGTTAACAGAAC